AACCCCAGAAATAGAACCATCCCTGTAAGTAAGAGCCTGACTGCCCCTTTCATAGGCTGGAGCTGGAAGGGAGGTGGCTGAGCCGGGCGTAGAATATGATGAAAACTTGTACAACCCAGCAGAAAATATATGGTGCTAATGATAGACCAAAGGCTAGATCCCTGAATTGCAGAACCTGATCCCTGTATACAAAACGTAGCTAAAGGCAAGATTAATTCCCTATGATAATGTGGAGAAATTCCTTAGCAACCTGAAACTTGGGCATCCATGGACCTGGTGAAGAATGCCAATATAAGGTGAGAAAGGACTCCATTGTGGACGGGGAGAAATGAAGAATGGGTAGAGAAGAGAAAGAACGACGATTGTCTGTGAATCTCCCCTTGTCTTAGGCACAACAAATAAACAGAAATATAATCCCGGAAGAACGGGATCAACTGACACTACTACCTCCGTGATCAGTATCTCTGATAGCCGTGAAATGAAAATTCGCACCCCACTATTCAGGTGAAAATACCACAGGGTGAGAGGACAATGTAGATGGGGAATTCAATGGAAAAACCAACCTCGATACCAGAACCTGAAGAGCCCATGGATATGCAGAGAAGGGATACCAGGTGTCCGTCCGTCGGACAAACCCAAATAGAGTGGCCCTGAAACTAAGTTTTGAGTTTATTCAGCTGCTAGAGCCAAAGAAGGTCGAGAGGTCAACCACAACAAAAAGATAATGGGTAACGACAATGAGCAATACAAACACTTCTGGGACACCAGCGAAAATCAAGTGACAATAAAGAGAGAAAAAAGCCCATGTAACACCCAGAGGCTACAGCAGGTAGACAAAGTCCCTTCACCATGGTATGTCTACAGAAGGATCAGAAGCAGTCAATCTGATCAAAGTAGAAGTCAGTAGGAGATACTATTCTTCCGAAATTAATGTTTGGACCATTGATAGGCTGTTAAGAATTTGCAGGGGAAGAAACATCACAGAGCAAAAGTGAGGAACAAACAAATACAAATAATGTGATTGGTTCAAAGTGATCACATGAAACAACCTGAAACCCCAAATATCCAAAACTAAATAATTTTAGTCTGTGAAATTGAAAACATACGTCCCCCAGAGATGGATAGCCAAAGCACGCCAACAGACAAATGAGGATACAAGGTATTGTTACGTCTCTGGTCGTTAGTTAATTTTCTATAAAAATTCTTTCCGAAGAAACTTTAGCAATACAAATCCTTTCTTAAACAAAATTGGTTT